TTACTCAAAAATCAGTCTGATAAAAAATAATTACTTATCAGACATTATTTTAAAAAATTTATCAATCTAACATCATTTCTTGCTAATAATTTATTGAAAGAGAATTTTAGAATAAGAGGCAGGGAGAAGGGGGTTTCTGTTGTTTTATAGATAAGGGAGCAAAAGTGGAGGATCCAAGCCAAAAATGGAGAATCTAAAGCCTCAATCACCCCATGTAGTCTTCTAGCCCTTCCCGGCGCTGGGACACATAAAACCCATGCTCAAACTAGCAGAGCTTCTCAGCAATGCCGGTTTCCTAGTCACCTTCATCAACACCCACACATCCACCACCGTCTCCTCCCTTCCATCGACACCAACGCCTTCCACCGCCGCTTCCCTAACTTCCACTTCTTGTCCGTCCCCGACGATCTCCCCCCTCTCCATCTACGCAACTTCTTAGATATATTCCCATCTATCAGATCCGCCATCGTCGCTGCACTCCGTCAGCTGTTGGTTTCTGATCTCAACCGCACAACCACCTGCATTATAGCAGGTGGGATCATGTCTTCTTCTGCCGTAACTGCCGGTGACGAATTTGGGATCCCTGTTTTAACGTTCCGCACGTTCAGTGCTTGCTACACCTGGACTTACTTTCATTTGTCGAAATTCGTTGAAGAAGGGGAAGTTCCACTGCAAGGTTAGCTTATTGACTTTTAATCGATGAATATTATACAGATTTTGCTTCTTTTACTCAGATACATATGTGTATTGTTTTTGCAGGTACAGACATGGACAAGCTGCTGACTTGCACTCCAGGCTTGGAAAATGCTTTAAGGCGTTGAGATCTTCCGGGAATTTGCAGGTACGGGCGTTGACTAAACAAGAACCGATCAAATTATTTCAGTTAGACTGATTTATTCATAATAAACTTTGTTTTGCTTAACGAATGCAATTAATTAGATTAATGGAAGTCCGATTGGTCTATTGCCCGAAATCGAATCGCCCGATTCATTGTACTATTTGCAGGGTTGAGAGAGCTCAGTATCCAATATTGGAATTCTTTATCAACGAGGCCACGGCCATGCTGCGAGCATCTGCTCTCATACTAAACACCTTCCATGAACTCGAAGCTCCCGTTATTTCTAAACTCAGCTCCTTGTTCTCCAAAATCTACAATATCGGCCCTTTGCATGCCCTCTCTAATGTCCGTATCAACGACGACCCATCCCCTCACTATAAAAATTTTTGATTGTTTCAATAAAATTATTTATTATTAAAAATATTAAATTTGTCACGATATATTTATTTTAACTAATTTTATTTTTTATTATGTTTGTTAGAATAATCTTGTCATGTAAAGTTTATTGTGACATTGTGTTTGTTATCATTATATAGTATTTATTTAAACAATAAAATTTCGTAATTATAATTAACTTATCATAATAAAATATTTGTCATTATCAATTAATTATTTTGTCACGAGAAATATATTTTGTCATAACTAACTTATATTTAAATATCAAATATAAATTGTACAAAAAATCAAATATAAAAGGTTTTTGTGACGAAAATATATAAGGCACCAATAATTATTTTGTCGCAGTAACTATTTTTTCACTAAATGTAACTTACAAAGATAAAATATTTGTTAAAATAAAATAATTATTTCATCACAAAAAGTAACTTTTGTCACAAATAACTTAAATTATAACTACAAATATAATTTGTCACAACAATGTGAATATAATTATTTTTTGTGATAATATTTTTTGTAATAATTATTAACACTTATAGTTATAAAATATGTCACTAAATGAATTTTTTGATGCAAAAAATTATGGAGAGAAATCTTTGTGATAATATATTTTGTCACTATAATTAAAACATATAACGACAAACACTATTTTTTACTAAAAACTTGAATCTCATTATTTGTTGTGACAACTTTTTTTGTAACATTAATTATAGCTTATAGTTACAAATCGTGTCACTATATGATTTTATTTTTGTACCAATAATTGGAGATAATCATTTGTGACTATACATTTTATCACTATAATTAAAATATATAATCACAAACAAAATTTGTCACAACAAATCTAAATCTCATTATTTGTTGTGACATTTTTTTCTGTTATATTTACTAAAACTTTTAGTTACAAAATTTGTCACAATATGCCTTCAATTTGACGTCAAAAAATTAGAGAGAAATATTTATGATAAAAATTCGTAATAAAATTTATTTTGTTACTATATGTTACACATGTTTATTAATTGTGATAAATTATTATGACGATTTTAGTTTTTGTCATAATTGTACATCTTTTTTCAATTTAATGTAATAATTATTTTTTATCATCAAAAAATTATTAATAGTGACAAAATTAATTTTAATAATTAAATTTATCACAATACTATAAATTTCTTGTAGTGCTTTAGCATCATCAACATACGTTTTTCCCAAAAAATCACCGTTGAACAGTACATTTCCCGATCAGGCACCCGTCAGACTATATTTTTCGATCTAACACCTATTGCAGTATAGCGCGTCCCAGGGGGCGCGCTTTATCATACGTGGCGTAAAGCGCACCCCCTGGGGCGCGCTATACCTGATTTGTAATAAACCCGGGTGTTAGTTTTGTAAATATTTTTAAACTGGTGCCTAATATGTAATTAATTTCTGTTATGGTGATATTTGTAATTTTTTAAAAATATCAAAAAAATATTATTCACTTTTTTAAAAATAAATAAATATTAAATTTTAATTTTATTAAAAATGAATAAACATTATTAACTATTGTTAAAAAAATAATAATTAATGAATAATAATTCATTTGATCTCTCAAGTGTAATTAAAAGTTTATTTTAATATTTTTTTATATTTTTAAACAATTAATTTTAAAATATTGTATTTTCAAGACCTAAAGTCAAGTTTATGATTGTTAAACAGTCGTAGGTGTGGAAAGCTACAGGGATCGAATGAAAATTCGATCGTACAAAGTTAATAACTCAAAATTGTCTAACTGCTGTCTAAATATCAACTTAATTGTACCACGAATAAACATTCGATCAAAGAGTTGATCTTTTCTGCTCAATCTTCACAAAAACTGTTTTGTCTCATCATTTTCTCCCGCGTATGAACTCCTTTTTTTTATAACATTCATGCAAAAGAATATATGTATTAATAATATTTATAATGTTTATTCATTTTTAATAAAATTAAAATTTAATATTTATTTTATATTTTTTAAAATTAATATTATAAATAATATTTTAAATAAAGAGGTGATATTTTTTAGCTTTACATTATATTTTTATTGAATTTTATTCATTTTTAATTCATTTTATTGCATTTTTATTTATTTTATATTTTTTATAATTAATATTATAAATAATATTTTAAATAAAGAAATAATAATTTTTAAGTTTGATTTGTTTGCAACAGTCAATCAAACAAAAATGGCAAAACAAAAGTGATTAGCATTGAATTAAAAAGCACAGCTTGCAAGGTAACTCTGACTCCCTGCATTGGCAGTGACAGTGCCAACCACAAATAAACAAAAGCAAAGACTCAACTGAATTCTCCAAATAATGCAAAGGATCATAGCAACGTTTTAAGGCTGTTAAATTGTGTTATTAATTCATATATTTATATATAAAATATAAATTTAATTAATTATATTTAATTAAATTGTATAACTTTTCCATAATTATTATGTGGAAATAACAAGTTAACTTTTCTGTAATAATATCAATATATTTCTAAATAAAAAAAATTAAAGCTAAACAAAAAGGATAATTAAAATCGAATAATAAATTGTGGGGTAATACATTGTAATTGAATTCGTCAGAGTAGGGTAAATGTAATTTAAATCTGGCAGCGGAAGAGACAAAAGAAATACAGTAAAAACGTGTGGAGCCACCAAAGATTACTTAGAGAATTGCTTGTCTAAAGCTCCTGGTTTGTTTTGAAATTGATATTTTTACACAAATATAATCATAACAGAAATTAATTATATATTAGGTACCAATTTAAAATTATTTATAAAACTAACACCTGAATTTATTACAAATTAGATAAATTAAAAAATATAGTATGACGAATGCCTAATCAGAAAATATATTATTCAACGGTAATTTTTTTTGGAAAAAAACGCCTCGTCAACAACAACAACGAGTATACTATGGAAAGAGAACAAAGATTGCATCACTTGGCTCGATTCCCAACCATCGAAATCAGTCGTCTTCGTTAGCTTTGGGAGCATAGCGAGCTTCACGCATGATCAAATACTCGAGTTCTGGCATGGCTTGGTCGACAATGGGAAACCATTTCTAATGGTCATACGACCCGACTTGATCATTGGAGAAGATAGTGGTAATTCGGGTCAACTCTTGACGGACCTTCAAGAAAGGACCAAAGGTAAAGGATTGATAGTGAGTTGGGCACCTCAAGAAAAGGTGTTGACTCACCGAGCCGTCAGCGGGTTCTTGACTCACGCCGGCTGGAACTCGATCTTGGAAAGTACACATGCGGGAGTGCCGGTGATTTGTTATCCTGTAATAGCGGACCAACAGGTGAACAGCAGGTTCGTGAGTGAGGTTTGGAGAGTGGCTTTGGACATAAAAGATAGATGTGAGAGAAGAGTGGTGGAGAAAATGGTGAGGGATTTGATGGAAGTTAAGAGAGATGAAATCATGAAGGTGATGGATGGAGTTGCAGAGCAAGCTCGGAAGAGTGTTGAAGAAGGTGGTTCTTCTAATCGGAACCTGGAGTTACTGGTTGAAGACATAAGGTCAATGACTACTTTGATTTAACTGCACATTACCCGAAATGGACAAACTTCACATCCCACTCAAACAACAACGTCCGGAGAGAGGATCAAAGATGCTTCCTTTACCCGATCCCTTCATCTTTTCTTTTATTTTTTTTTACTAAGAAAAATATTATCAGAAACAAACAAAATTTGGGAAAATGAATAAGGGTATCATGTGATAAAATTATGTCTTAATTCCTAATTGGTTGTCATCATCTCCAATGCGTAAATTTCGTCGTTACTTCCTGCTTTGTTTATTTAAAAACATCTTCTCCAAGAAAACTCACCTCCGGCAATTGTTCAATTTTCTAGAGCTTTTCTCCCTTCTCAACTCACAAAATCTCTTGTCGGCATGGACATGCCTATGTCGAATAATAGCATGAACTCGATGAACATGCAAATGAGCTTCTATTGGGGTAAAGATGTAACGGTTCTCTTCTCAGGGTGGCCGGAAAGCAACAAAGGCATGTACGTATTGGCCCTCTTCTTCGTTTTGTTTCTAGGAGCCGCCGTTGAGATTCTGGCCATGCTGCCGGCTGCATTTAAACCTGGGACCACCAAACCCATCCATGGAGCTGTCATTCAGACAGGCGTTCACGTTGTTCGGATGTGCTTTGCTTACATGGTTATGCTCTCTGTTATGTCCTACAATGTTGGGATCTTCATAGCTGCAATTCTTGGCCATGGTGTTGGGTTCTTTGTCGTCAAGTTTCGTGGTTTGGCTACGGAAACCGGGCAGCACGAGGACTTGCCTCGCAATGGTGTCGCTTTTAAAATTTGATGGTATTTAATGCGTCAATCCGTTTCAATAATAATGATAATAATTCTCTTGATATTAACAGAGATTTAGAATTCTAGTAACCCTCGTTTCCATATAAAAATATTATATTTTAGATCTCATATTGTCGTAAATTGTTTTATAAGAAAATTAGAAAATATTATAAATAGATATTATATTATAATTGTTTTAAATATTTAAAAAATTATTGTCAAAATATAGGCCTTAGATTTCGTACAGGCCAATTCCAGTAAATTGGTGTTTATAGCCCAACCAGCCTTATAAGAGTGATAACCACTTAAAACTCATGGAGTATGAGAATTGGAGAACAAACTTTACTTTTTATCTTCTTTTTTTAATCTTTTGAATTATGTGCACCCAAGTTTGCAATCAACTTTACTTTTGGATTTGGTTGATGTTAGAACTTGTTATCTTCTATTTTTAAGTTTTCGTAATTATTAGCTCATAGAGCATGCGGATTTTGGAAAACGAACATAAATAACTTGGGTCATATCTAAACTCTTGAACTTTAAAACTTAGAAAATAATGCTCCATTGATGTCAAATCATATATATTCAGCCCTATGTTTTATATCAAATTCCAGCTGGAACTTGCCAGTATTCATGAGCACCACAAATTGATCCTTCACACCCAACAAGCAAGTGCTAGGGTTGAGTCCCATCACCACTGGCTATAGTGCCATAACCCACCCCTTTGCTAATGTAATACATAAGACTTCAAAAATTGATCGAGTGGCTATCTAAATCGATAGCTTCCCAAACAATAGGATTGATTCAAATCATAAATAATTTAATATCATTTAAATAAAATTTCAAGTTTATGTGTAAAATTTATATTAAAAGATTCATCTATTAAAATTAAATATACAACACGAGTGATCTGAATTAGTTAAAATGAAGCTTTAAAATTAAGAGAATAAAAAAACGAACGTTTCTTAAAAATTTTAAATTAACGTAAAATTCTATATCCGTTATTGTCAGAAAAATGGGGGGAGATGGCTCAAAATCAATTTCATTTAATTTCAAGTTCTCCCAATAAAGAATAATGGATTAGGGAAAGGTGGCAAAAGAGTAACCCCACTTTATCTCATTAGGATTTCAATTTGAACAAAATGCAAAGCTTATTATTATCATTATCCCAAATCCCACAGCATACAGAAGTCACAAAAGAGTAATAAACCCGGCCAAACCAAATTAACAAAAAAGCTGCTGCCTTGCCCTAATGAAACTATAAAACTCCTTTAATTTCACCTAAAAATCCAATTCTCATTTTCCTAATAACCATATTTTATATCTTAAACCTATAAATACCCTCTAAACTACTATTTTCCCCCCACTAAACTACCCACATGCACTTTTTTAAAAGTTCTAAACTATCAATATGTCCATTCTTGAGGTAACCGAATCTCATGGCTGATTCCTTCTTGTTCTCTGAACTTATTCCCACCACTTCTAAGCCTCGAACCAGCACCTACAATAGTCATAAACCAAACAAACTCAGCAGCAATTCACAAACCATTATATAAAATCAGGAAGTTCTTTTACCACTATCAGTAGTGACGCTCGCTTTAAACCGAGAGCGAAGGTGGGGTTGAGCGTTAATCTCATCGAGATTCAAGTTCAAAGCGTCAACCACTCGAGCTGGAAGCAAAACAGTAGGACAAACTGCAAAGAAAAAGAGAAGAAAGTCAGATTTAGGAAAAACAAAGACAGCAATTAGCAAAGAAAAAGAAAAAAAAACAGTTATGGACCTTGCTTCTTGCGGGGTTCAGCCGTACCATTACGGCGAGGCAAGAAAACACCAGTTCCAGCACATTCCCTTTTGCCAGTCGAGCTGTCCAAGAAAACAGCTCGCATACCCGACTCCTTTGGAGGCTGGGGTTGTTGCTGCTGCAGAGGGGGCCATGCAGAAGGGAACAAACCCGGAGGCCTATTAGTATTGTTTTGATGGACCAAATGCTGCTGATGGCGCTGCTTCTTTCCTCCCCAAACTCCTGGGTTATTTTGTTTCATTAGCTGGTTTTGCTGCACTTGCTGAAACTGAAAGGACAATAAAAAGAGCCAATTTAAGAGCCTGCAGAGGGAAATTTTCAGGAAAGAAAAAAGGTATTTTTAGCTATGTCTTTAAAGGTTTTTACTTGAGTGGCCCGCAATGAAAGAGATTTGTGACGGTTTGGCGAGGGTTTTTTGGCTGGTGGACCTAGGAGGCCCTTGTTATTGAACCCGCCGTATGGTTCTTCATTCATCCGTACCATCGCAGCTTCCTCTGCCGCCGAACAAAACAGAGCCCATGTTCCCGACGGTGATGAAACTCGAGATTGACAGCTTGAGCTTCCATGGCTGGACCTAAACGCAAATAGGCTCGATTCGGGAGAACTGCAAAATACCCAATCCTAAAAAATGGTAGCAAAAATAACGAAACAGTAATAAGAAATAATCATCAATCGAAAACCTATTGCAGAATCGAATGTTTAAGTATAAACAGACCTTGGAGTTTTTAGAGGCAAACGCCGGGTGGTTACCGCCAAAATCATCTTCAAGAGTATAGCGAGCCATTTGACGAGTTAACCCAACGAGGTAATCCTCTTCGTCACTGTCTGTCTCGGTAGAACCCACCACGAACTCAACTGGAGAACTAAGATCCGACGGCAACCCGAGGGGAAACAAGTCCTTGGGAGGACTGTCGTTAACTTCAACCTTCTCCAGAAACAAGTCATCGTCAGCTAAAAACCGAGGCGGAAGCCTAAACTCACCGTCGTCCAAAACATCCGCCATGAGCGAAGAAAGAAAAAAGAAGGTGCCTTCGATGTTATGAGAAACGGATGGTTTGGTTCAGAGATTTAAAAACAAAGCAGTTGCACCTTGCACCACTGATTCTTAATATCCTTATAAATTCTGAATCCTAAAACCGCAGGTGTATAAATATAGAAGTAACTGTAACAACGAAGAATAGATTTTGCGAGTATGGGGTTAGAAAAGGCAAAAAAAAAAAAATCCAGAGGAGGAGGGCAACAACTAACAAACACGTTGGCTGGCAGTGGCACCTAAGATTTTACAGACTAGGAACGACGTGGTCCACCATTTGGGCTTATGCAGTGTGAGTGGCCCACATTGTTTTCTTTCCATTTTCTTCGGTTTAACTTTAAACTAAAGCCATAATAAAATGTGTAGATTCAAATCCCACATGGAATGTTTTTTTTAAATAAAAAATATATAAGTTCGATTTTAATGTATATATATATATACAAATATAAATAATATGATACTTTTTACATTTGACTCCATATGTAAAATTAAACAAAAATATATAATTTTGTAAAAAGAGTTTTTGTAGTCATATGTGTATAAGGGTAGAATGATAATTGTGTATAATAGGTTGGATTAAGTGAAACAATCACTTACCATAACTGTCACGTGTGAATTATGTTTTCATTCAAATTGAAACGATTCGAAACAATTCGAATATTATCATATGAGAAAATAACTTCAGTGACCAAAAATGCCTTATAATATACGATTTTAACCAACTTTTTTTGGATTTGCCAAAATGACCAACAAAATCGTAATGCGATCGCTAATTCGCAACGCGATCTCAGGTATCGCAAATCAGTTTCCAGATTCGTAACACGAACTTCGACTATGCATTGCGATTTACATATTCGCGTTGCGATAGTCCAAGTTCGTTGCGATAGTCTCCAAGTTCGTTATTGCATTTGTTTCTTAAGAATTTTCTCTAAAAAGATAGTATTCGCGCGGACGTGTCGAAGACACGTATTACCACGACCCGAGACGAGACGAGACCGACGGCGGCGGCGGCGCGCGAGAGTCCTCATTGTTCTCTATCACTCAACAAGGAAGTGGGAAAGCCAAGCCTTAAATACCGTTTCCAATAGTGTTTCCAATACCATGTGGGATTGAAAATTCACTAGCACTTTAAATTATGAAGAAACGGAAGAAATTTTTTGTTTACATTTACAATAAGCCTCTCGTAATCCAAGAACATGCTTTACCAACTTAACAAAACAATTCATCACGATATTGTCTACTCTGCTCGGTATTTCGAGCAAGTAGTAAATGTTTATTATAATTGAACTTAAAGTGTATCCGAAAATACTATTGGGAACAAGTATTGATAATGCTCAATCCCACATAGTATTAGAAACACTATTGGGAATGGTATTTAAGGCTTGGCTTTCCCACTTCCTTGTTGAGTGATAGAGAACAAGGGGGACTCTCGCGCGCAGCCGCCGTCGCCGTCAATCTCGTCTCGACTCGTCTCGTGGTCGTGGTCGTGGTCGTGGTCGTGGTAATACGTGTCTTCGACACGTCCGCGCGAATACTATATTTTTAGAGAAAATTCTTAAGAAATAAATGGAATACCACTAGTCGTTGCGATTTTGGACTATCGCAACGAATTTGGAGACTATCGCAACGAACTTGGAGACTATCGCAACGAACTTGGAGACTATCGCAACGAACTTGGAGACTATCACAACGCACTTGGAGACTATCGCAACGAACTTGGAAAATCGCAACGCGAACTTGGACTATCGCAATGCGAATATGTAAATCGCAATGTGATAGTCGAAGTTCGCGTTGCGAATCTGGAAACTGATTTGCGATACCTGAGATCGCGTTGCGAATTAGCGATCGCATTGCGATTTTGTTGGTCATTTTGGTAAATCCAAAAAAAATTGGTTAAAATCGTATATTATAAGGCATTTTTGATCACTGATGTTATTTTCTCTTATCATATTTATAATTTAGTCTAAACAAAAAAATTATTTAAACTAAAAAATGATTTCAACTTCAAAATTATAAACATAAATAATCGAAAATTAATAAAATAAAAAATAATTTGGATTAATAGTAGTTAAACTTGAAAAAGACAAACTTTAAAATTAGTAATTCAAATTTGAAAGGAGGAAAATCAAAACTAATTTTAATATCAACTTAGCAACCTATATTTTATTTTTTATCTTTTTTGTTAATGATTAGGGGGTGGGTGATAATTAAGGAGTAGTAGTTTAGTAAACACAAGGGGATTGAGGTTAAGCAAAGCAAATGGAGGATGACGTGGAAGTGGAACGAAGTCGGCAATTTTTTAGTTTTAGTTAGAAAAGTGGATTGGGTCAATCCATTTTCTCTCATTCATTGAGGGCGTGTCGTTTTCAAATTTCCCCAATTCTGGTCGTTGGACGGTGCTCCTCTCCTGGATGCAACACCTTCCATTCAACTCTATTCCATAACCCCTTTTCAAATCCACATGCCCATTCGATTTAAAATGTTGTTTAGGTTGGGATCGGGGCACTAGGGACATGCTTACCTGCGGATAGGGACAGCTCACACTATCTACTTGGCCGTTCAGTTAGAGACCGTGCATTTCATGTACCTTCCTCCACCTTCCAGCTCCATGTATGATGTACTCGCGATTATAGCCGTTGGTTTCCTCGCAACAAAAGCTGGATGGAGCTTTCGTGACCTTGCCTTGTAAGGGAAGCGCTTCATGATAAAGTTATCTATTAAAGTCGACAAGTCGGCGTGACAGACATGAACTCGTTTTGTTCCCATAGTTCCCCCATAAAAATGAACAAAATTTCACCAAATAATTTAACTTTCACGCCTTAAGGATAATCGAAAAACATTGTTTTTATTATTATTATTATTATTATTATTATTATTATTATTATTATTATTATTATTATTATTATTATTTATCGACATCGTTATTCGTCCGGGCGGGGAAAAATCGATACCGACTCGAGGTTTTCTTTTTGAAAATCGTTTAAAAATGTGAGGAGTCGCTACCAATTATTTAAGGTGAGATTGGAACACCTTAAAAACCGGATGATTTTAATAAAACATTTCATTTTAATAAAATACCGAGCTTTAGGTCTGCGAAAAATCCAAAAATCATGTTCATGAGTCAGTTACGCGTGGGGAAGGATTAGCACCCCCACAAGCGTCCAAAAATTGGTACCTAGTTGATTATCGTATATTTAAAATTAGAAATTTTGAGTTCGATCTTTATTTAATTTAAAAATCATTAAAGATACAAAGTTTGAAAATGATATTCGTTTATTGAGATCGATAACATTCGCCCCCGAGCGTAAATGCGGGAGATCAGTTATTGTGTCTAATAACCGAACATTGCCTCGTTTTTTTTAAAACATGACATGGTTTTGAAAAGGATGTCGACTTATTTAGGGAATTACCAGTAGTCACCCCTGAGCGTGATCGCGGGAGATATACTATTAATTCCTTAATAAGTGAACAGTGCCTTAGATTTATAAAAATAATACGATCAAACAAAATTTTATTTAATCCTAATTATACTAAAAATAAATTAAGGTTCTTTTCTAACCTACGGTGTCAAATTATGAAAATTAAAGAATATAAGGGCTTAAATCTAAAATATAGGCTCTAATATTAATCCTATTTAATTTTAATTAATTATTGAATCGAATAACTAAGATGGTCCCTCGAGCGTTTACGCGAAGGCCGACTCAAATTATCCCCTAAATTAAAATACTAGTTTAAAATCTAAAATAAAATGGAGGCTCTATTTAACCTATTTAATTATGTCAATATTTAAAGTCTAATTGAAGTTCGGGAACTAAAAAATCAGAGAACTAAAATAACGGGCTCTAAAAGATTTAAAAATCTAAAGACCTAAATTGAACGTTTTTAAAGTTAAGGGATTAACCTACTTATTAAACTAAATTTTTTAGAAAATATTAATCATTAATTAATTTTAATCGAACAATTGATTCGAGTATTCGGGGGTATAATGCGAAAACTCGACTCAAAAACTCAACTCGAATTGCCCCCTAATTAAACTACATTGTCATCCTAATTTCTGATTTTGATTCGAATATTAATCCTACCTAAAAATAAAATTACAAAATAAATTAAATAAATACTAAAATTAAACAAAATAATAAAAATTACAAATAATAAAGAAAATTAAAATACAAAGATCTAAATATAATAAAATTTAAATATAATAACTAAATTGCGAGAAAATAAAAGAAAGTAACTCAATAAAAAGTAAACATGGATCAAAATGCAAGAAAATAAAATTCAGTAACTACATTAAGACTAATAAGTTCTAAATCGAAATAAAATAAAATTACATGCCAAAATAAAAAATATATAGAAATAAAAGATGCAGTGACCAAAGTGTAAAAACTCTCTAAAATTAAAGGTACTGAAACAGTAAATTTACCAGAAAAATAAAGCATGCATAGAGAAATGGTTAAACATCAATTTCGGTCCTTACAGTGACTAAAATGTAAAAAAAAAAAGGAAAGTTGGAGGCATTTAAGATGTAATTTTACCATTAATCTAGCTTATATATATTAACCTTTACTCTTTTTTGTTTCATTTTTACCCAAAACGCAAAAAAAAAAAAAGGAAAGAGCTCTTGAGAGCTCTCTCAACCATTGCACCGCCGACAAACTTGCTCAACCCCAACCACCGACCGGTCGCCACTCCGACCTCCGTACACGATGACTGGAAATTCTAAAATCGACTCAAATCTCCCCGAAACAATAGATCTACCCATTAGGAACCCTCATTGAGACTAAAACCACCAAATAAAACTAAAAACACTCCGAAATCGCTCGGTTTTCCCGGATTTCGGCGACCTCTGATGAGGCCCCCTTTGGTTTAAGTAAGCCTCGATTCCTACTTCTTTTATTTTCTTACTATAAAATACATATTATTTATGCTTTTTATTATTCTGAAATTAAACGAAAAAAATCAAATATTATTGTTATTTCGAAATAAAAAAAATTG